AACAAGCGGCCCATATATGTGCAATTTTTTGGCCACCAACCGATAAGTAAATGAACTTCCTGGCTGTTAAAAAATATTGGAAAAATATTAGACGTTCCAGTGAAACAACAGATTATTTGATTATCAAAATAAGTACAAAAGAACAAACTTTAGCTTGCGGTAGCTTCTCATCCGACTTCCTCAGAAGAGTCATAACAACACGACATGCATTGAATGACAAATCATTGTCGGATTCATGCGGAGCCAGCCGTCCATTTTGCGAGATTATAAGTCGCCCATCGCCTCCTACCGACACTACGGCACCGGTCCGTGGACAAACACACATATCCCAAACCTGCACTTCATGCCTGTAAATTCAGAATTCGGCCGCACTTGAGTCACATGCATTTTAATTCAAACTCACACGAAATTTTTCAACTCACACGAAATTCAAACTCACACGAAATTTTTCAACTCACACGAAATTCAAACTCACACGAAATTTTCGGAAATGCAAAGAATGAGGCTGTCTTGCACGACCCAAAAAATAATTCTAATTGAAAATATTAAAGACAACTACTTGGCGCAACTCTTCAAAGGCAGCGTACGCAAATACTTTATCAGCCACCCAATAAGCAGTACCAAGCAGGGCTGTAAGCTTAATGAAAAAAAAAAGTGAAAGAGTGAAGTAATTTCACAAACTTATTTGCAAGTGGAAGCACGAAAACGTTCTCTTTTGTTGAGCCTGAAGTGACGTAGCATACGCCACACGTTAAATGTATCCCATTGAGGGTATAATCTTGCTGATAACTGAATATACCATTGAATAACCTCTGTCGCGAGTAGACCTGCGAATGCAATTATTTTACCGCAAAAAAAAATCGCAAATATCCTATTTTAAGTCGAAAATCAACAGAGGATTACCTGCATTCCGGCTGTCCTCTGGGCACCTTCCTCAATAATACATCGAAGAGTTTTAATATCGTATATCCTAATCATTTTTTCTCGAAACGACACAGCCACTGAAACAGCTTTGAGCCAAAAATGCTTGCCTGCACTGCTCCAACGAAGTACTAACACTAAGTTGGAAGTGATGTGCCTAATAGACCATTTCCTATATCACTTTGGAAATAAACCCATACTGTTTTAGCCTTCTAAAAAAAGCAGGATACCGCCTTAACCATCCGGTTCTTCGCTGTATTTCAGCAGGCAAAATGGTACCCAGAACAGATCAACAGGCCCGAACCCTGACAAAACACATGAAAAAATGACAAATCTACTGAACAGGTAACATTTGAATTAAAAAACTAAAAAATCGGTACTCCACCCTCCCCGCTCTCCTTCCTCGTATTCTTTCTCGATAAGAGGTCGAAAAAGCTCGACTATGTGCCACCAGCACCAATCGCTTGCAAGGCTATTCAATGGCTCATTTCGCGAGTAGACTAAAATTTCAAAAATAACGGATCTATGAGAGCAAACTTACATCGTTCTTCCCCGCAATAAGCAACGCTCAGTGGTGGAGAAAGCCAATCCGCGCTGAAAATTGTTCTTGCACATATCGTGTCATCATCCAAATCCCAGAGCAGTATGTGACCTTCAACAAACAAATATAATAAAATGAAAGAAATTATGGCTGTAGAAAATACAAATCCATTTTAAAAAGTACCGAATTTTTTAGTCGAAAAATTAGTTTCTCCCTTTTCCAGGACATATTATGTAAAAAAATACGAAGAGACAAGTTAACGTAAAGAAAGTTGGAAGTGCGAGACAAAATGTGGGTTTTGTAACGCTGTTACACAGCACAAAACGGATAAAAAACTGAACCTGATGCAGAAACTGCAGTAAACTTGCTAGAACCGCTATACTCTGTCCATGCAATAGAAATTATAGGTGCGCCATTACAGCAATCGGGAGACGGAAGCACAATGTGCGGCTGGGTGCGATATACGCGTGGCTCATTGTTATCAGTTAAAGGAACGGGCATATCGCATTGTATCCTAAAAAAAAAAAAACATTAAGAAAAATATATTTTGTTCACTTTACATTTCCACTTCACATGACACTGTTTTTTGGTACATGTTCAACACCACTATCTTCTTAACCTTATTATATTTTCCTCCCCCTTCCAATTCAATAAAATGGTCACCGGATTTTGGATCGACACCGTCTTATGGACGGCCTATTCAGAGTCATCGAGTGCCGGTTCAACCTTTACTTTTCCTAATTCCTTCCGCCCGCAGGTCCCAAACGGCCCGTGGGGTCTTTTACTTACTGAACTTTTATTTCGTGAAAAAAAAAAAAATTACAACGCTTTACAAAAAACATCGAATTTCCTGATATGACAGAAAGTACTAACCCATAAAGTGAAATAGGCCCTTTCATGCCGCCAACAGCAAGAATTCCAATAAAATTGCCAAGTTCATCTTTCTTGGCTGTCCCTCGCAGCGATGGACACCACGTGGTACAGAGTACTGCGTTGAGATCAACTTCAAGCAAAAACCACAACGAAGCCGCTATCCTGAAATAAAAGCATCTGTCAATAACTTATTCAAGAAAGAGAGGAAGAATTAAGGTCTACAATTGGTTACTGATAACCTAACACGCGCCTCTGAATGCTGAATGGGCAAACGAAGAAAGAAAATAGCAAATTTTTTTTGAAGCTACGAGCCAGAAGACGAGGATTTAATGAATTAGGTCTAAAAACTACGCACAGTGAGTTGCTGGAACATTAAAAAATGTGTTCTCATCGAGATTTGTGAGAAAATAAAGCTCAGTTATCATGATTAAGTTAGTAAAAAGGGCCCAGGACAACGGAAAATTCCGTCGAAAGAAACAGCTGTCTCCTTTTCAGCCCAGTGTAAAGACAGAAATAATGACTGAATAATAATAATAATAATAATAATAATAATAATAATAATAATAATAAT